ACAGGGACGGGGGGAGAAGAAGAGGAAAACACGGGGGGAGAAGAAGAGGAGAACACGGGGGGAGAAGAAGAGGAGAACACAGGAGGTGGGAGATGAGAACGTAGGGGAGGGAGAGACCACTAAAGGAGGGAAGGGGCGGTGGAGAGACCACTAGGGGAGGGGGTTGAGGAGAGACTGCTAAGGGAGGGGGGTGGAGGATAGACCACTAGGGGAGGGTGGGGGGAGAGGAGAGACCACTAATGGAAAGGGGACAGAGTAGAGCAGAGACCACTAAGGGGGAGACGAGAGACCACTAATGGAAAGTCGGGGAGAAAAGGAGACCACTAAGGGAGGTGGGGGGGGAGAGGAGAGACCACTAAGGGGCAGGGGAGATCTCTAAGGAATGGAAGGGAGAGCTCTATATGACAGGGGGCAGGACAGGGGGCAGGACAGGGATCTCTTTCACACCACGCGCACACACACACACATACACATAATGCATCCCTATACACACAGAAACACAACATGCTTCCCTTACACACAGAGAAACACACAATGCAACCCTTACATATAAAGACAATGCATCCTTTGCACATATACACAGAAACACACAATGCATCCCTTACACACACATGCAAACACACACTGCTTCTCCTACACACACACAGAAACACAATGCATCTCTTACACACAGTCATCGCACCCCTTACAGACACACACACTGCACCCTTTACATACACAGAAACACACTGCATCCCTTACATACACAGAAACACACTTTGCATCCCTTACATACACAGAAACACACTTTGCATCCCTTATACATACAAACACAGATTCACACAATGCATCCCTTACACACAACAAGAAACACACAATACATCCCTTATACACAAACACTCACTGCTTTCTATCCCTTACACAAAAACACACTGCTTCCACTACACACAAACACACTGCATCACTTACACAAACTGGTATCCCTATACACTACATTCCATAAGCACACGCATTAGATCCTCTACAGTAACACATAACACATCCCCTACACACTCCACTCCCTGTGAGCGAACTCATGGGTGGAACATGTAGGTGGACTTATGGGTGGGCTTTATGGGCATACTCACCTTCAGGCCCTGGGGCCCAGACCTTGAGCTATGTAAGAGGCCCCAAAAAATGGAGCTGCTTCCCGTTCTCCCAGAACATTTTGTGACCACAGTTACAAACAGCCTCCAGAGATCATGTTCTACACCAGACCAGTGGAGCCAGAGCCCATCACCATCCTCATCTGATTGTAAGTAGGCAATCTAGTATATTATTAGTGACACTAATCTCTAATTTACCTCACATTAAATGGACACTAAAGTCCCCAGAACCACTGCAGCTTAATGTAGTGGTTCTGGTGTCTATAGCCTGTCCCTGCAGGCCTTGTGTGTTTTTCTATGTGCATTGTCTTTGTGTGTAAGGGGTGCATTGTGTGTGATTGTGTGTGTGTGATGGATGTCAATCTCTCCCCCCTCTCTTGTCACTCTCTTCTCCCCCCTCTCCGTCCCTTGTCCCTCTCTTCTCCCCCCTCCCTTGTCACTCTCTTCTCCCCCTTGTCACTCTCTTCTCCCCCTCCCTCCCCGTCAATTTCTTTCTCCCCCGTCAATATCTTTCTCCCCCCTCCATCAATTTATTTCTCCCCCCGTCAATTTCTTTCTCCCCCCTCCCTGTCAATTTCTTCTCTGTCAATTTCTTTCTCCCCTCAATTTATTTCCCCTGTCAATTTCTTTCTCCCCCCTCCGTCAATTTCTTCCCCGCTGTCAATTTCTTTCTCCCCGTCAATTCATTCCCCGTTGTGGCGTGGCGAGCTATGTGACGGGTACAGGGAGCTTTTGTTTCCTGTACCCGGCCGGACTAACAGGAAGTACACACTCAGTGTTAGTCCGGCCGGGTACAGGAGACAGATGCTCCCTGTACCCGCTCGGCCACGCTACAGTGAGGGAGTGACAGGAGGGAGCGCTGAGCGCTTCCCTCCTGTCAGCCCCTCTCCTCATGCTGCGCCCGGGCAGTGCGCCCTCATGGACGCACCAGCCCGGGCAAAGCTGCAGCCGCCTGAGGCTCTCTACAGAGCACTCGGGCGGCCGCAGCATGAGGGGGGCCTGTGCTCCTGGCGGCGCCCCTTCCCAAGGGGGCGCCCTAGGCGTCTGCCTAGTCCGCCTAACAGATAGTGCCGGCCCTGCTCACAGATGTGACATTTCAAGATGCTGATTAGACAGCATGATCAGGTGTGCCTTAGACTGGCCACAATAAAAAGCCACTCTAAAATGTGTAGTTTTATCACACCGCACAATGCCACAGATGTCTCAAGGTTTGAGGGAGCGTGCAATTGGCATGCTAACTGCAGGGATGTCCACCAATGCTGTTGCCCGTTAACTGAATGTTCATTTCTCTACAATAAGCCGTCTCTAAAGGTGTTTCAGAGAATTTGGCAGTACATCCAACCGGCCTCACAACCACAGACCACGTGTGACCACACCAGCCCAGGACCTCCACATCCAGCATCTTCACCTCCTAGACCGTCTGAGACAAGCCATCCGCAGCTGCTGCAAAAATCGGTTTGCATAATCAAAGAATTTCTGCACAAACTGTCAGAAACTGTCTCAGTGAAGCTAGTCTGCATGCTCGTTGTCCTCATCGGGGTCCTCATCTTTTAAAAAAAACATATATAAACATAGACTGGGAATAATGTATATAGTGAATAGACATGTGAATATAAGTAAATTACACAATATAGAGTGTGTTTAGCACAGATATAAAGAAAGGAAAATAAATAAATATAAAGAGAAAGGAAAAATGGAATTATATAAAGGGAAAAGAAAAAGGCACAAGTTTACACAAAAAAAAGAGTGACCACAAAATATATAGCACTTTTTTTGCTTATGTGAGATATGAAAAGGAAAGAGAGAAAAAAAGGGGGACGGGACGGACAATTTTTAGGTGGATGAAGTTCAAAGGGGGTGAGATAAGAGAGAAAACTATATATAAACAAAAGGTAATAAATACACAATTCTATGGGTAATATATAATAGTGTTAGATAAATGATAATTTTTTTTGTCAATATGGGTGCGTTTATTTTAAAAGAAAATTATAATTTCATTTAAGTGGTAAGCCCTTTCTTTATGCTCCTCTCCTGGTTGGCACTCAGTGTCTAAACCTCTATATCCTTAGCTACAGTTCTTATATATGCTTTAATGGCCAGAAGTGGCAACAAGGGATAAATGAGTAGTTATTATGGAAGTCGCTGGCTCAGGTCAACCTCTTAATATACCCCTGCTTGGAGATCACTTAGTAGATCTCAGCTCCTGACATTATGGGGAATTATGTCAAGGAATACATTAAAAGGGGGTTGGAGACCCCTCCTTTTGTAAGTGAGAATGTATGTGGTTTTCTCTTTTTTTTTTGTGTAAAAGTTTTTTGTGTTGATCCTGTGAGGAAAGCTGATAATGGGATAAGGAGTAAATGAGAAAGATAGAATTCTGAAATACATCTCTATGAATATGCAGGGTTTGAATACCCCTATTTAAAAGGAAACTTCTATATGAATTACTCAGAAAGGAACAAATAGATATAGCCATGATACAAGAGACTCATTGGAAAAGGGAAGAGAAAATCAGATGGGGATATGAGATATACGAAGAAGTTATACAGGTATCTCTTGAGAGGAAAAAAAAAAGAGAGGAGTTGCTATCATCTTCTCAAAATTGCTTAATAAAGAGATAATATACACAGAGGTAGATAATGAAGGAAGATATCAAATCCTAGTTTGTAAGATAGACTCTGTAAAATATACTTTTGTAAACCTCCATCTGCCAAATATATCACCAACAAAGTATCTAAAAAAGATAATGGATAGAGTAGAAAAAGTTACAATGGAAATGTTAGTTATTACAGGGGACTTTAATTGTGTTCTGGATACGGTTTTAGATAAAAAAAAATAGTAACATAAAACAGCTTTAAAAAACACTAACGCGTTTCTCCTGCAAAGAGGCTTTATCTGTTATGTTACTATTTTTTTTATCTCCAATAAAGATAGCTCATTTATGCTATTGGAGCCTCCAAGCCTATCCTTTTTATTCTATTTTATTTTATAATATAATTCCTTTAACTCTCTCCAATGCCCCCACTGGAGGACTCGAGGAGTGATATCCTTGGTGGGGATCATACCACCTATTCCTACATATATTGAGCAATATTCTATTTGCTCTTCACTTGTGAGTATACCTCCATTATTTTTATCATTTTATTTTGTATTATCCAGAGAGCACTATTTTGTGTTTTTATCCTTTTTATATATCACCAATTATTGGAATACCGGCCTACTGCCATTGGGAAGGAGATATAACCTACCACCACTGGAGACCCCCTTTTTGAGGACATCCAAGGACCATCTACATATCCATAGGCGGGGATTGTACCGTCCAGGCGCACATATCTGTAGCTGAGTATAGGCTCCAGAAAATTGTAAGTGCAATTCCTTTCCCTTCATTTACCATCACTTAAGAGTTCAATATACTACACTATATCTGTGTCTTTTTCCTTCCCTCTTCCATATCGCTCTGAGCATGGGAATTCCTTCGTAGGCGCTGATCCTATTACCTACAGATTTCAGTAGACCTTGTTACAGTCCCCGCTTCCCCGGGTGTCGATCTGCTAGCGAGGGCTGTTACTTCATGGTTGTTTAGCTCAGTGCCGCTAAACTCAAGAGGCAAGCCATTTGCCTCGCAAAACCAGGCCTCCCAACAGTTCCAATTTCGTTGGAACAGTTTAAATTTTGTCTTCCTGTTCCATCCCAATTTAGTTCGGAGTGCAAACTCTCCCCTTCTAACCCTGCCCAGACTTTCTGTGGATGTCCTATCACAGACTTGTCAATGCAGCTCAAGGAGAATTCCAAGGACCAAGGAGGTGTTACCAGAAAGTAACAGGACCGGCTGTCTGCTTGAAAACCATGGCGGTGTAACCAAGTTCATTTATATTAGATTCCTGTTTAAATCTGCACTTTTTGCAAAATGAAAAACATAGAACACAGTCTTCACACATAAAGCTACACCAAGTTGAAGTGCTTTTAAAGTCTGGAGTGTCCCTTTAATGAGTTGCCTTGGGAAGTCTGTGATTGGACAGCCATAGAAAATCTAGGTTGGGGTTAGAAGGGGATGGTTTACAAGGCTGCAGAAAAGAGCTCAGCTTTTACAAACTGTTGAGAGTACATCTACGAACAGTGATTCTTTTTTACTGATTTAGAAACCATGCAGATCCTAAGTAAAACCAGAGGTATTCGCATTTGTTCTGGAATTGTCTGTGAATGTCTTCAAAGTTCATGATTTTAGATCAACATGCAGCCCTGTGACTCCCATTGGCAGTCTTAACACATACAGCTCTGTAGTAAGGGCAGCTTGCCCATTGTAAACATGGACGTCGTCATGTGACTATGGCGGTGTGCGGCTTCACCTTTCCCGGAAGTTCCATTCAATCCACTTGGTGTCACACGTGGGTTAGTTTTTGCAGTGCACCCTGGGAAAACATGGATACCTTCGATCTCTTTCGCAAACTGGGGTCCGGTGCACGATTTGATCTGAAACGATTTAACGCGGACGCCGAGAAGTTTAAGGTTTGCACTCTGGGGGCTGATATGTGACAGGGCTCTGTGTATAGGTATAGTGATGGAAGATGGGTTGCAAGTCTGGAATGAGTAATGCATGCGTTCTATGTATTAAGCTTGGTATAGAATTCAGTGGAAATCCAGAGTGAATGCAAATATACTGTAACAGAAAACAAATGTTTGTAGTCTTCTGAGCTGCATCAACTTTTTGAGTAGGAAAGGTGACTGAACTTATCTTAATGTGTTAAATCATACCTCATTGCATACCTGTTTATTAGACTGTGCAAGTAAAATTAAGAGCCACTTTATCCTTTTAGTTTTGTTTTTTTAATGTTTTGTTTTTCTGCTTATTGTGTACCATTCTAATACCATGTTTCCAGTATTCTAAAGTGCATGCGTTTGATACTTCATATCATTATACTGTATCTCAGCAGTGTCTTTCTGTTGGTCCCTTGGTAAATGAACTGTAACTCTCATTTTTCTATGTAATATCAAAGAGCTGGCAGTTAATGATGTCTGTGTATTTCAGTAATCCGAGAATGCAGTACATACTTTAGGTTCTCCTTGGACATGTATCTAAAGGCAGTGCATATGCCACACTGAAAATGTCATAAAGAATCAACTTCTATGTGATTTGCAGTTGGCTAATACAGTAATCCTCCTGAAAGTAAAAAAGCTTATCACGAAATAGCACTTGTAATGTCATAAATCATCCTTTTAGTATATGTAAATTGATATATAATAGCATTTCTGTATGTTAAATTGTTGATAGAAATTGTACCACATCTCATTACAGTTGGCAAAAGTTCAGGAGAGAAATTTGCCATCTTTGGACAGATCACAAAATCTTGACTTTTTTGGAAGTAAATCAAAACCAGTTTCTGTAAAACGTGCCTTGGATAAAACAATTGATGATGAAAAGAATAAAGAGCCAAACGGTGGCACGTCTGCAACAAATAATGCCCGCACAAAAATTTCAAAGAAAAGTGTGAAGAAACAGAAAATACAAGGTATTTACAAAAACTGTACTTTCCTTATGGTCAGTCCTTCACTGCTGTTGGAGGAGAACAATTGTTATCTTAAAGTTGTTTTTATAGGTCGAGTGGACAAGTTAGTTTTTAACTACCATCCAATGTCATGTACTAATCAGTAGAGATGTCGCGAACCGTCCGTGGCGAACTCCGGTCAGCTGGCACGTCCCGGCCAATCTCCAGACCCTCCTACTTCCTGGACAGCATCCATGTTGAAACATGGATGCTGTCCAGGAAGTAGGAGGGTTTGGGAGGGAGGGTCTGCTGGAGATTGGCCGGGACGTGTCAGCTGACCGGAGTTCGCCACGAACAGCTCGTGGCGAACCGTTCGCGACATCTCTACTAATCAGCACTACTTTTTTCATCTTTCTTATCAAATAGCAGTATTAAAGGAATAATATAGTGTTATGAAGACAAACCTGTTTCCAGCAGAACTTCCTCTGTGGTGTTCGCCTCCCACTACATCATCAGAGGAGGCATAGCAAAGGAGGGGGACACTGTATCCAGACCACTTAACTGAGAATTTAAAGGACAACTATATTTTTCCTGGCACTATAGTGCCCTGAGGGGGTCCCACTCCCGCCGGGCTCTAGGGTGAGGAAGGGGTTAAACTTACCTCTTTCTCCAATGCCGTGCGGGGAGCTCTCCTCATCCTCTGCTGAATGCACATGCGCGGCAAGAGCCGCGCGCGCATTCAGCCAGTCTCATAGGAAAGCATTAACAATGCTTTCCTATTGACGCTGGCGTCTTCTCACTATGAAAATCTCATCAATGAGACAGCCACTAGAGGCTGGAATAACCCTAATGTAAACATAGAAGTTTCTCTGAAACTGCTATGTTTATAGAAAAAAGGGTTAACCCTAGCTGGACCTGGCACCCAGACCACTTCATTAAGCTGAAGTGGTCTGGGTGCCAATAGTGGTCCTTTAAGTGGTCTTGGGTGACTATAGTTTACCTTTAAGATACATTTGAGTATGCATGTTCATTTTATACCACTTTCCAAATTTTGCTTTTATTGATTATGTATTCAGTATTGCAGCTGTTAATTATCCAAGGTCCTTTTGTTTGATTAGTGATCTTAATTTGACTTATGTTTATCTTCTGATGGTGAAGATGCTAAGTATCCAGCTGGGATACAACTTTGAGTTCTTTTTATTTCTCCCTGTTTTTATTCACCCTTTTCGGGGATTTTTGTAGCAAGAAAAGTCATACTATTAAAAAAAAGGAAACTCACACAATTTTTTTTTGTGTATGTTTTTGTAACATTCTCAGTGCTATTTTCCATGATAGCCATAAACATTAAGGCATTACTGGCCATTTGAAATGTTAGGAGCAACTTTTAGTGTACATAGTTTAATGTAGTGCGACATTTGGTGATGGGGACACTGCCCAAATACAAAATAAATAAACATCACTGTTTAGTAGATAAACCCAAGATGAAAACTTGCATGCATTTAATTATGTATTTTTTTTCATTGGGGATATACCTAAAAACTGCAGATCTCTTGTCTGCAGCTTTGGCAAGCTCTCCCCTTCTAACCCCACCCAGACTTTTTGTGGCTGTCCAATCACAGACTTTCCAATGCAGCTCAATGATAAGCCTTTATAAGTCAGGTGCTCTGATCAATTGCTGCCTCTTGAGGTCAACTGGCTAATGAAACCAGGACATTACCTGTTGTCTGCTTGATAGCCAAGGGGGTGTAACCAGGTTGTTGTTTTTTTACAATGTTTCCATTTCTAGTAAAATCTGCACTTTTTAAATCATGAAAAACGAGGTCACACTCTTTACACACAAAGCTTTTCAGCAAACTAAAGTTATTTAGAGGTCCTGAGTGACCCTTTTAGCTGAATGAAAAATGTATGTATGATACTAATTAGATGTACGTCACCCAAATGACAATTCAAAAACTGATGACTAGCAATTATTGCAGGTGAGCAAAGGAAAATGTTGTTGTATAATGCATTTAAAAAAAAAAAAATCACTTTATTTTCTGTTTTTCTGCTTCAAAGCAGAAAATGGATCAGAAGAAAACACTTTATTGGTTGAAAACCAAGAATCATCTATCTGCTGGATGTCGTCTTTAGAGGCAAAACTAAAGGATGCTAAAGCAAGCAGACAAAATAAGCAGAGTGCTGAGAAGCTGGTGAAGCAAAGAATTCAAAAGGTACGTATGTCACATGATCAATCATGAGTGAACAAACGGTTAATGTGTCAATTCTGATGTAAGGCTGTGTAATTAAATATAAAATAATTGAAAGTGTGTTTTGTAACAACTTGGACTCATTCTTTTTCTCAGAGGTTTGGTTCATGTTTGATTTTTCTTTTTTTTTCTTTTTTCTTTTTCATAAATGAAGCTGTAATGTGTATGCCCTCTGTGGTTTGCAAATGAGTTTGTGCATCCTTTAAGAATATACATGTATGAGTAATGAAGCCCCACACAGCTAGTGGTGAAATACAGCATATAAGGAGATGGCAGAGTGTTTGAAGAGCTGACACATTTGTCCATAATTAAATAAAACACAAATCCTAACCTAGACCTCTCTGTAGTATTTTTCATAATCTTTTCAAATTAATACTTTTGGATTAACTTTTATTGATCATATGTGATATTTTATTATTTTGAAGAACAAAAAGTTTGTCTAAATTGTCTATTGCAACCCATATATAATTTAGTGATTTACATGAATATCTAGAACCTACATTCCCTCAATGTAATTTCAGTTTAAGTAGAACCACCGGTTCCATGCCAGATGTGTCCGTTTTTGGGGTCTTTGCAAAAGCCCCTAAATTTGACAGATCCACTTTAAAAAGTAAAGCCCTTCCTTCTTCATGATATCTAGGAATGGACAGGGTAACAGAATGAGCAGTGTCCCTAATGTAATCTGACCTCTGATTTAAAAGAACAGTCCAAGCACCATAGCCACTACAGCTCGCTGTTAGAATATGTAGTGGTAGAATTGCAAAAGACGTTGTTCCATCTTAAGAGACGAGAATTTAGATTTAAAAGGAAGGATAGATTAGGAAAGGAGAAAAGGAGAAAGGTGCACAGATAACAAGTACAGAGAGATTACGTAATAAACATTTTGAAACAAATAACAGTGCATGACTATATAGAGAACACCAGGTCAGATGGGGGTTGAATATTAAATTCAAGGGATTCATGAGCCAGAGGCTACTCCGAATCAGACAGGCCTAATGATTGAAATGTTTTGGAGACTGATAATCTATTTCAAGCATACCACATTTTGGCTGTTTTATCTACTATACTGTATTGTGTTTCTGTTTTAATATTAGAGAGGGGGGGGGATCCAATTTTGTAAAAAGGATATTGAAGTATTATTGTATAATCATATATCCATTTTAATTTTTCCTTGTACTCTTTTATTTTAATGGAGTAGATGAATCATTTTCGGAATGCTCATAAGATTTATGTGCAAGGAACAGATATTCCAGAGCCAGTGGCGACCTTTGAACAGCTTCATGAAGAGTACAAAATCGACCCAAGGATAATGCAGAATGTGAAAAACGCTGGTTTTCAAACGCCTACACCCATCCAAATGCAAGCAATACCACTCATGTTACATGTAAGAGCTTACTTTCTCCAAAAGTAAATGGAGGAAATTTTTTTATAAATTCTCCTTCTCCCTTTTATTATTAGACACCCACTTGTTTAATTAGGGTTATGGTTTAGGAAATAGATTACCAAACTGTTATCCCGTTTTGTTTTTCCTTATCTAAACCCATCTGTTTGATGTGTATTCACTAAGCATTAAATGGCATTTGGTTATCCAAATTCACTTGTTCCACCAAAAGTTTACTATGTGAAACCCATTTGGCTATTCACCAGATAGAAACCTGGTAATTTTAGCAGTTTTTTTTTGTATGGCTGCCAGTGAGGTAGCTGTTAAAATCAGCTGAATGTTTTTATATTTTTGCAAATCTGGTTATTCAAAAACTAATGAATAGCAACCTAAACACCTTAATTGTTTTGAATTAATTCCCTTAATACATAACACCAAGAAGTCACTCTGATGTTATCAGGAAGTCTTACTATAGTGAGAGGGTAGTGGATGCATGGAATAGGCTTCCAGCTGAAGTGGTAGAGGTTAACACAGTAAAGGAGTTTAAGCATGCGTGGGATAGGCATAAGGCTATCCTAGCTATAGGTTAAGGGCAGGAACTAATGAAAGTATTTAGAAAATTGGGCAGACTAGATGGCCCAAATGGTTCTTATCTTCGGTCACATTCTATGTTTCTATACCTAAATCTCTTACCCGGTAGCAATTCCCCAACCCTTCCTTCTTAATTTAAAAAAAAAATTGGTTGCCATTTACTATTGTTACAGTTTCGCTATTGCTATTTACAAAATAATTACTCAGATGCTATGCTCTCCATTTGGAAATAGCAGGGACTCATTTGTGAATAGATTCCTCCATATCCAAACCATATTTGTGTTTAACTCTTACGATTCAGTTTGTTTCCTATGCAGTCCTAACCCTTTTTCCAAGTTTGTAACATTATCAAACATCTCCATATTATTTCACCAAGCCTTTGTACATTTTGTATTCAGTTTTATCCATAATGACATTTGTCTGTTCTTTTCAAGGGTCGTGAAATCCTGGCTTGTGCTCCTACTGGTTCGGGAAAAACTATGGCTTTTTCTATTCCAATTTTAACACAACTCAAGCAACCAAAGAATAAGGGATTCAGAGCATTGATCATATCCCCTACAAGAGAGCTTGCAAGCCAGGTATATTTTAGTTCAACTAACATTTTACATTTTAGTTTGTCTCTCGACTTTGTGCAGTTGGCAGTAATCCTTGCTTAACATTATGGAAGGCATGGTATAGTTAAGCATCTCAACTCATAGTTCACTTTTATTTCCATTAACATCATCCGTAATAATAGCTGCTAAAGCAATTATCTTCCGCTCCTCTGGGATCTTACTGGTTCAATAAAAAGACGAGTGAAGATGCAAGTTAGCATGCAGACATGCACACTCTTAAGGTTGTAAATGGCAATTATGTTCAGCAGTGCATAGTAGCATAGTCACTCTGTTGCCATAACGGTAAAGGGATGGTGCTTTCATTCCTTTTAGTATACCAACTTGAGAGCTTTAAAAAAGGACAGTATTTCATGATCTATGATGTATAGTGCATTTGGATGCCATTATTGTTCTGTTTTCTGTTTATTTAGACTCATCGAGAACTAATAAAGCTGTCAGAGGGTATTGGCTTTAGAATACACATGATTGATAAAGCTGCTGTCGCTGCAAAGAAGTTTGGTCCAAAATCAGCTAAAAAATATGGTATGTATTTTAGGATCTAATATGGATTACTTGTAATGAAAAGTTTTTGTTTATTTTAATCCTTTGTATTTCTTTGTATTTTTGTGTTGCAGATATACTTGTGACCACTCCCAATAGAGTGATTTATATGCTAAATCAAGATCCACCTGGCATAGATCTATCCAGGTACTTTTAAATTCATCTTTTATTTATTTATATATACTATATAATCCTACTTTATTATAGTTGATATTTATACATGGTGTCTGCTACTTAGAACTAATTAGGAAGTACTTGAGTTATGTAAAGTTATTGATCCTTTCCAACCACAATATTAAATACATGTAGAAATTACCAAAACCAGCCAAACAGTCCACAATAATCTACAGGTAGATCATGGAGAGTGCATACTTTTTATAATAGAAAATGGTTAACAATATGTCAAAATATGTGCAGACCTCATAAGTGACAGTCAATCCAAAATCTTCAAGCACATGTCAATTAATGCAGACTCTTTATTCCTCAGGCGAGTCCAAGGTTATAAAATGCAATAATACAAAAAGGGTCCTGTGTAAAAGGGGATTTAACTTTGTTTTCCTTCCAAGTTATTCCAAAGTGTAAGTTAGGACCAAGGGGAGGTGATTTACAAATGGGGAAAAAAGTCTGGGTGAAAACCCATTGTTTCAAAGCTGTTGTATACAGCAGACACATACTCAAAGGAATCCATGTATAAAGTGGAATTATGAGGCAAAATGTGCTTCTTTGTTGAGCTTTGAAACACAAGGGGTTTTCATCCACACTTTTTTTCCCCACCACAACTCTGTTGGTATGTACTTTACAAGTAATGCCAAGCCTCCATTGCCAGCCAGTAACCAACCTCATGCTGATGAGTTGCATTAACAACAAAACAGCTGTCCATGAGTGGTTCACTGGCTTTGCTCCTCTTCCTGAGTTGTTTCACAGCTGTTGTATACAGCAGACACATACTCCAAGGAATCCATGTATATAGTCGAATTGTGAGGCAAAAATGTGGTTCTTGGTTGAGCTCATTTGCATAGGCCTATGTATGCATATATATGTTCAGATGTATCTCTATCTGTCACACATATATACATAATGTTTTCCTGTAAGCCAAAAGAAAAACACTATGGCCAGCATAATTAGGGCAGTAAAATGTTTAATAGAGTAGGTAAGATTCCCTCACAGTGCAGTTTTAAATCTTGTTATTGTGTGTGTATACAGCATAGGTATACTTTTCCTTATTTTTGTTCACAATATGAAGACTTTTGTAATTATCAACTCTGGTTGTTATTGGTTTAAAGGTAATCATAGCAATGTATTGAAAATCAGGCAGGCAGATAAAATGTCTTGCTTTTTTGGAGAAAAAAAACTCCATGTTGAAATGTTTGCATGCAAGTAAAGACAAAAACATATTAAGAATAATTGTACACTAGTAGTAAAATACTCATAATTGATCTAAATCCCACAGCTTTGCAGTTAAAGGGACACTGCACTGCCCAGATAAAAAAAAATATATAAAATCATTTTTTTTTAAATATATATATATATATATATATATACACCCCCACTGAAACATACATGCATTTTATCATTGCAAGTACATCTAAAAATAGCTTATAAAAGTTCTCTTGTTTGTAGCCTTTGCAAGCCTTCCCCTTCTAACCACGCCCAGACTTTCCGTGGCTGTCCAATCAGACTCCCCAATGCAGCTCAATGAGAAGTCTTTGCAAGGAAGGTGTTCTGAGCATATGTCTGCCTCTTGAGTGTAGTTCCACTGAGCTAAACAAACCAGAACCAGGAAGTAACAGAACTAGTAGTCTTCTTGAAAGCCAAGGGGTTGTGACCAGATACATTTTTAAAAATGCCAATTTCTTTTGAAATCTGCACATTAGTAAAATGGAAAAAAGAGGATACACAATACACAAATAAAGCATTTTAGCAAGCTTAAAGTGCTTTAGCGATCCGGAGTGTCCCCTTAAGGAAGCCAATCATTATGTCTTCATAGTCTTCTATGGCAATGTTTCGGATGGGGAAAACAAAATAGGATAGCTAAAAGTTATACTTCTATGTTAATGTTTTAGCATGTGTTTGTAAAAGAAAAAAATCATAGAAATTTGAATTTTCTACTTCCTCTGCTCTAGTACCAGGTTGAACTGACCTTACTAGAGATCTGCTTCTTTCTGTCTACCCCAGTCCACCTGTGGAACGTTGGGGACATTGCCCATTTAAAAAAAGGAAAAAAAAAAAAAATAGTCTGCTACACAACTATAACTTACTTCCCAGACCAAGGTGTCCTTGTAAAATTATTTTAGAATGTTTTGCTGTCTAGTGGTACAGGAGAAGTTAGGCTTATTTTATTTTTTTATTTTTTTATTAATGCCAAAGAATGAAAGCAGGCAGTACATCACATTTTGATTTACACATTATTCATCAAAAGAAAAGGAAAAATAAATCCCTTTCCTTCAACCCCCTTACAATAGCAGCCTTTATAATATTCATTATCATTATAAGCATTCATATTAAAACATTTCCACGTTGCCTTAATAATACATCAGTTTAGTAAATACATTCCATTCTACTTCTAGTTTAGCTTATACTGAAGTAGCTTACAATTGTGGTATACTACTTTATTAATCTGTTTTGTTATTAATTTATAGTTTCCTTAACCAAAACAAAAACAAGCACAGACGACAAAAAAAAAAAAAAAAGTTTGTTTTAATCAGTTATTACATTGATGACAGTCTTTGGTGTAATTAATTGTTTCTCTGTATTTGCTTCTTTCTCTTTTTAGTGTTGAATGGCTTGTTGTTGATGAGTCTGACAAACTCTTTGAAGATGGAAAGAGAGGCTTTAGAGACCAGTTGGCCTCTATATTTGTGGCATGCACATCCCACCTTGTTAAAAGAGCCATGTTCAGTGCAACATTTGCCCATGATGTAGAACAGTGGTGCAAACTGCACCTTGACAATGTGGTTTCAGTATCTATTGGGGCAAGGTAAGGATTATATTTTTAGTGTCTTAATACTCATATACCTGTCCATTTACCCACTTGTTTTTTTTTTCTTTTTTTTTCGCTCTGCCATTCAAGCGTGGCTACAATAGTGCAAACAAATGTGTATACATAACATAACCTCACAAGTGTTGTTGATGCGTAGTAGAAGATACAGGGTAACAAAATTAGTACAAGCATCTGTCACAAACTGTGCACCTTTGGTGCATCTCCGCCAGAGTTTTCTTTTACATTAGTAATCTGATAAGGAGAAAGAGAAAGAAAGATATATGGAAGGAAAGAAATAACTATGTACAACTGTCGACTTATTGAGGAGTGTGTTGTGCCCTAGGCTCTCAGGGTGACTGCGATAGGTGTATTGCGTTGCCTTGACCAATACGTCTGTGTGTGGTATCCCGAGCTTGCCCAGGTAGCTCAGGCATTGTTCCCTTTCCGTCTGCCCTGTCTCTGCCCCCCACTTTGATCTGGCAATCCGTCAGGTACGTAATCTGGCAGGGTTAGACAGTGTTGAAGTTTTCCTCTCCTCGTGTTTGCTTACAGTGTCTGAGGTATTTACCAAAGATAGAAGCAGATTGATGAAGAATAGGTAGATATAGGTAAGTATAGTGTTCAGTATGTTGTAGTACAGAAAGTTAGTGATCTCCTGTGAGTCAAGAACCCCGTGCCGCTCACCCCAGTGGGCCGCGGCCCTCGTTCCTGCTTTAGCCAGTCCCCCGTCCTACTGTGGAGCCGCTTCCACCCGTCCGGGTTATGGTATGCCAGCGACCGCCGGGTGAGCCTCTGCCATCGCTGCTGAATTGTGCCGCACAGATGCCGCCCCGCGCCCCGAGTCTATGTGTCATATTGCTCCCATGGTCCCCACACCTTGTGAAATGTAGTCAGCGTGTTCCGCACTTGGGCCGTGAGTTTATCCATCAGATAATTATCGCGGAGTTTCGTCCCAACCAATGATAGCTGTGGGAGGTCCGGGCATGACCAGTGTTGTGCCACGGCCCTGTGGGCCGCTAAGTATATCATGTTAAGGAGTTTTTGTTCGTGTCTCGGGAGGCTCTCCGTGGGTCTGGATAGAAGGCATGCCCACGGATCGAGTGTCATTCGTTTTTGTAAGATTTGAGAGCTGAAGTTTACTATGCTGCGCCAAAAGGCCGCCACCTTTGGGCATTCCCATCACATGTGGATGTATGTGCCCCTCCCCCCACATAGGTGCCAGCAATCATCTGTAGGACGCAATTTCATGTGTTTTTGCTTCACAGGAGTCATGTACCAACGGAATAGCGTTTTGTATGATTGTTCTTGGAGTGTTACGCAGATAGTGGTTTTGGTGCATGCCTCCCAGATGTCCTGCCACTCCGTTCCCTCTAGGGCCTCCCCCAGGTCGGCTTCCCACTGGTCAGCGTATCGGAGTGCGTCTGTCGTTTCCGGGGCCGTGTTGAGGTGGTTGTACAGTAAAGTAATTAGCTTGGATTGTGTAGTCTCCGTAAAACAGAGTTTCTCAAAAAAGGTTAGAGGTGTCAGGGCTGCCTTTTTTACGTCAGGGCTCTGTGCAAAGTCTCGAATTTGCAAGTACCTGAAATAGTCTCTAGTGTGCAGTGGAGCTTTGGTGTTCAGGTGTGCGTATGTGACTATTTCCTGGTTTATGAATAGGTGGACGTATCTCTGGAGCCCAGTGGCCTCTATCCCTTTGTAGTCCCGGGCTCTCATTCCCGGTGGGAATGCCCTATTCCGGAAGACCGGTGTCATGGGAGATAGAGGGGGGCTCAAGGAGTATTTCAGTTTAGTTTGGTCCCATATCCGTATGGAGTTCAATATAGCCGGATTCGTGGTTCTCAGTATGGCCCTTTGTGTTTTTGGTGCCCATATAAAAAATTGTGGGAGGTCCTGTCTCGTCATTAGCGACTCCATGTCGACCCAGCGTCGCGTATCAGGGGGTGTGTGCCATTGTATGATCTGGGCTAACTGGGCCGCTAGATAATAATTATATACATTAGGTAGTCCCAGTCCCCCCCTGGCTTTCGGTCTGTACATGAGTGTGCGAGCCATTCTCGGGCGCTTGTTGTGCCAGATGAAGGAGTCTATTGCCCGCTGTATACCCGTCAGGTCCCCCCGGGTCACCTGTACCGGGAGTGCCTGAAAAAGGAACAGGAGCCTCGGCAACACATTCATTTTTATTGTGTTGACCCGTCCCAGCCATGAGATGGGCCTGTGTGTCCACTGCTCCATTTCCGTGATAAGGGTCCGAAGCAGTGGTGTATAATTGCGGGCATAGAGCGACGATGTGGTTGCCGTTAGGCGGACCCCTAGGTACAGGAGTTCCTCCGTGGCTATCTTTAAGTGGTATTGTTTGCGTATATGTTCTACGTCTTGGTGCGGCATGTGGAAGGGCATTGCTACCGACTTGGAGTAATTAATTTTATAGCCTGCGATATTCCCAAATTTTGCTAAGAGTTGTGTCAGGTGGTGTAGGGAGTCCAGCGGATCCCGGAATGTTAGCATAACGTCATCAGCATACGCCGAGACTGTGAAGGATGTGCCGCTCACCTCCATGCCCTGAATGTGTGGATGTTGCCTGATTGCTTGTAATAGTGGCTCCAGGGTTAGGGCGAAGAGCAAAGGGGACAACGGGCATCCCTGTCTAGTGCCGTTGCTAAGGGTGAAAGGCTGTTTAGGCGCCCCTGTGATAAGTGTTTGTGCCCTCAGGTCTGTATAGAGTGCCTGTATTGCCGTCACCAAGGGCTCTGGGAACCCCTGGAACCGGAGCAGCTCGAAGAGGTAAGGCCATAGCACCCTGTCAAACGCCTTCTCCGCGTCTAAAGAGAGCGCTAGAGAAGGCGTCTTGGACTCCGCCATGTGCCACATGGCATTTACCCCCCGTCTGGTGTTCTCGTACAGTTGGCGTCCGGTCATAAAGCCTACCTGGTCCGGGTGGATTAAGCGTGGGAGTAGGGAGGAGAGCCTGGATGCCAGTATTTTAGCAAAGACTTTGAGGTCCGTATTGATAAGTGAAATTGGCCTATAGCTGGAGGCTAGTGTGTCATCCTTATCTGGTTTTGGCTGTAGTACTACATTCGCCGTTGCCATGCCCCCGTCAGGTCCCCCGCCCTGCATAAAGTGGTTACAAAGGGCCGTGAGGGGAGGGGCTAGTACCTCCTTGAGTTGTTTGTAGTAGTTAACATCATATCCGTCTGGGCCCGGGGCCTTGTTTCCCTTGAGGGATGCTATGGCTGATTCTACCTCTGTTTGTGTAATCGGTTCACTTAGGGAACCTGCTTCTGCCTCGCTCACTTTGGGCAGCGTGAGGTCTGCAAGGAATCGTTGTATGTCGGCCCTATAGGTGGTGTTATTGGCGTGTAGGTGGGGGGAGTGATTGTAGAGGTTGGAGAAATAGGAGGTGAAAACTTCGTTAATGGCCTCAGGGGTCTCAACTAGCATGCCGGTGGCCGTGCGTATTTTCGTGATGACCTTTCCCTGTGGTCTCGGGCGGAGCACCCTTGCTAGCAGTGTGTCTGTTTTATTTGCTTTCTCGTAGTAGAGCCGTTTTGACCATTGTATGGAGCGTGCCACCGCTTCCAGAGATATGTCCCTAATAGAGTGTCTGAGTGTGTTCAGTTCCCTAAGCTTGGAGTCTGTCGGGTTAGTTTTGTGTTGCTGCTCCGCCTTCCGTAGAGCGGACTGTAATTCGAGGAGCTTTTTAATTTTTTCTCGCTTTTTATGCGTTGCAAGTTTTATAAAGTGCCCGCGTATGACCGCCTTGTGTGCTGCCCAGACCATGGTGGGATTGGTGTCAGGTGTTGCGTTTAGTGCAAAGTATTCTGTGATAGCCTGTCGGGTGGTCTCTAGGGTTTCGGCGTCTCTAAGAAGACTAGTATTAAGCTTCCACGACCAGTTGGACTGGTAGCGCAGGTTGCCTAGGGTCAGCGTTACGTCCGCGTGGTCTGACCACGTTATGCTACTGATGTCTGTGTGTATGGCCTTATCCATTCCCACCCCGTTCAGGAAAATGTTATCTATTCTGGAGTAGGTGTTGTGTGGCGCGGAATAAAACGTATAGTCGGATGTGGTCGGGTGCTGTAGTCGCCATACATCTAGTAGGCCCGTGTGTATCAAAAATGTGTGTAAGAGTTTGTCTTGACCCCCTCTACCCTGAGACCTCACGGTGCCCGGTTTTGAGCTTCTATCCGCTGCTGGGCTTGGTACTGCGTTAAAGTCGCCCCCCACCAGCAGAACCCCCCCCTGGCCCCGGTCACCAGTACCTCTAGGCTCTCCCAGAACTGCCTGTCCGGCTCGTTGGGTGCGTAAACATTGATAATATGTATTTTTGTGGTGTAGAGGGTGCCTCCTATATATAAAAATCTCCCCTCCGGGTCAGTCTGGGTAGTAGTGATTTGTAGCGGGCAGTTTTTATGGACGAGGATCGCCACCCCCGTTCGCTTACGGAGGGAGCGAGCCTCATGCACTGTCGAGTAGGTCCTGTCAGTCAGTTTAGTGGGCGCCAACCTGGGGAGGTGTGTCTCCTGTATCAGTGCGATATCTATTTTTTTGGCCTTTAAGTCTCTCACTAGTAGTCTCCGTTTGGTTGGGGAGTTGAGGCCCTTGACATTTAACGAAAGTACCTTAAGAGCCATGTGGGGAGGTCGGCTGTGTTGCTGGTAGTGCCGGCGCTCTTGGTGTCCGGAGACTGTAGTGCGTGCTGTGTGAGGGGCCTGGCCCGAGGGCTACACCCGTCGACGCTGGCGGCATCCATACGGCACAATGGAATTGGAGATCAGTACTTGTCAGTGAAAAGAGTGAGGAAAAAGAAACATAAGTAACAAAGAACCATTTCAAGATACATACAAATAAACATGAAAAGTAAACAGAAAGTGATAATCTGGTCTTAACCTGTGCCAGATTGAATTGGGGGTGGTCGCCCCTCCCGAGTGATGTATGAAAAAGCACCTCTCGGGGTTGGTGATCTCCCATCGCCCCTCCACTGTGGTGCTGTAAGCAGCCAGCTGCCACATAACCCCTGTCTGCTGGTTTGTCCCCCGTAAAGCGAGGTGTGCTTGCCATTGTCCTCCCTTGGGTTGCTTGGTGTGTGTGCCTTTCACCCTTGCTGTGTGTTATTTTTGTCCTCCTTTCCTTCGTTTATGTGGGAGTCCTCCCCGCCTGTCATTCGTAATGACTGTGTGTCAATCCTCCCCTGCCCGCCCCCTCCATCCCCCCCCTATCTGACCAGTGCGCTAGAGCATGTGCGTGCCCGTCGAAGGGTGCCTTGTCTGTGATGTGCCTTTTTTTTTTTTTTTACTTTTTCTTTTCCCTCCCCTCCCCTTTCTCTGGAATGTGGTAGTTCGTGAGTCATATCTCCCACAAGTTGGTCCACGGTGTATAAGTTTCAGCTGCGTAACCCAGATATCAGTGGCAGTACCCAGAGTGGTGTGTGTGTGCCCCCAACTAATGTTACACCAGGTGTAGTGTCCCAAGGTCAACTTAGCTGTCCCATGCGGCTATCATGCCACCAGAGTCACTGTAAGTGCCCCTCGTGGGCCAGTCAGGTCTGCGTGGTGCCTGCATCCTCCTGGGCTGCCGTTGCTGCGACTGTATACCAGTCCCTTGGGAGAGGTGTTAGGGTCCGCCGAACGGGTCCAGGTAAGGCGAAGGTTCTCGGGGGTGTGATGTCCAGGTCACGTAGAAATTTCCGTGGGTCCCCTCCTGGTGAGTATGTGAGTGTTCTTCCCGCTTTGAAAGCTACTATTTTAAACGGGTGTCCCCATGTGAATCGGATTTCGTGTTGTCGCAGAAGATCCGTCAGCGGTCTCCATTCCCGTCGTCTTTGAAGCGTGCTTGGTGCAAGATCTTGATAGAGAGAGATGGGCTTGCCTTTGTATGTTAAGTCGTGGTTTCTGTTGTACCGCAGAATAGCTTCCTTAGTGGTATAGTGGTGGAAGCAAACTATTATATCTCTCTGGGTGTCATTGTCCCCCCGCCGGGCGCGCAGGGCCCTGTGCGCCCGGTCCATGGCCCACTGGGCTTTGGGGATGTCTGGGAGTAGGCCGCTAAAATATGCTTCCACTAGCGCTGCCAGAGGGCCTTCATTGGGCGTTTCGGGCCATCCCCTGATGCGCAGATTGTTCCGCCTGGTGCGGTTGGACAAGTCTTCAACCTGCATTTTCAGGTCTATAATGTGGTGGTCTAGGGAGGTGGAGTGCTGTATCACAGCATTGTGGCCCTGAACCAGTACCTCCATCCTCTGCTCCAGTTTTGAGGTGCGGTGCCCAGGGCCTGGATCTCAGCTTTGATATCATGTGTGCTGCGTGTGATTTCACTTGCCAGGTATGTTTTGACCTCTGCAAGCCTTTGCAGGATTTGTTCTGTGCTGCCTCCGTCTGACTCCTGTTGCTCCCGGTCCGTTGGGGATTGGGAGCCTCGCGCGCCCGTCCGGCGGCCATCTTGTGCGGCCTGTGTTGGTCGCGAGGCCGCGAACATGTCGGCCACTGAGGGGGGGAAATCCAGCGCTTCCCCGCGTTTCTTCCGGCGTGGAGTGGCTCCGGTGCTCGGGTGGGGCATAGGGAAGGTAGGTGCTGGCTGCGGTGCTGGTTGCCGGTGCGGAATTGTGTGTGGGTGAGCGGGAGCTCGCTCGTTAGGCTGCCATTCTAGTCGGCTGCCAGGCCACGCCCCCCTACCCACTTGTTTTTATTTTACAAAATTGTCATCCACTGAAAAGGTAAATCTTAATTTCTGGAGTGACCAATAGTATAAATAGAAATGTGCTATCACAAAAGAGTCAGAAACTCTTAATCGGTTTTAAACACTAATATTTTTGTTTTATAGGGTGCAGCTAATGAAGGCAATGTTATCTTATAAAATTATCAAATGTATAAAAATAACTTTTTTGCATCTGTTAAGGTAGTAACCTAGTTTCCTTCGCTACCTCAAGCACCCATCTAGAACTACAAAACCATATATGAAATGATGGAGCCGGTCTAGTTTACTGTAATATGCCTGGGTGTTGGTTCCTTTAATGAAGAAAATCCCTTTTCTTTCCTTTTTTACAAATAGCTGCCTATAGCTGCAGTGGTTTGCAAAAAATAAATATATAAACGCTACAGCGATATATAGACTACGCCTTGTCTCTGTGATGTCAAGGGGGAAAAATTATACTGCATCTAGAAAGACTTGTCTTTACCCGTCTGACTTGCTTCCTCAATTCCAACTCTCTAATTGACCATCTTCAATCTCGCTTCTGCCCCCTCCACTCTGAGACTGCTCTTATCAAATTTACTAATGACCTAAGCACAGCTAAATCTAATGGCCACTACTCCATATTTATTCTACTTGACCCCTCTGCTGCCTTTGACATAGTTGACCATGTTCTCCTTCTCTAAACTCTTCACTCTCTCTGTGATACTGTCCACTCTCTGTTTTCCTCCCATCTCTCTCAAGGCTCATTCAGTTTCTCCTTTTCTAATGATATCTCCTCTCTTCGTCCTGTCTCTGTTGGAGTCCCCCAATGCTCTGTACTTGGTTCCTTCTATTTTCTCTTTATACTGCTTCTCTTGGCAAACTTATTACCTCATTTGGATTTCAATACCACCTGTACGCTGATGACTCCCAGATATACCTCTCCCCTGTCATCCTGCAATGTGTCACTGCTTGCCTTTCTTTCATCTCTGATTGGATGTCCTCCTGCTTTTTGAAACTTAATCTCTCCAAAACTGAACTCCTTGTCTTTCCTTCTCCTAATACTGATCCCCCTCTTTCGCTCTCCCTTCATGGTACCCACATCAGTCTATCCTTGCAAGTGCGCTGTCTTGGTCTTATACTTGATTCTGGCCTCACATCCAGTCTGTTACCAAATGCTGTAGATTCCACCTTAAAACATAGCCTGCATCCGCACCTTTCTTACACAAGATGCTACTAAGGAGCTTGTCCATGCCATAGTAATTTCTCGCATGGATTACTGTAACTCGCTCCTAATAGTTCTTCCCACAAGTCGTATTTCCCTGCTACAGTCTGTAATCAATGCTGCAGTTAGACTGTTTTTTCTTTCCTGTTGCTCCTCTCACACCTCACCCCTCTCCCCTCTGTCAGTCCTTACAATGGCTTCCTGTATCCTATAGGAGTTAATTCAAAGTACTAACCCATACATATAACAAGCATTGAACAATTCTAGCCCCTCTTATATTGCTTCACAGATCCATGGGTATGCCCCTTCTCGGTCTCTCTGCTCTGCCCATGAACACCTCCTGTCTGATGCTTGCACACGTACAGCCAACTCACGCTTGCAGGACTTTTCATGGGTGGCTTCTTTCCTTTGGAATAGCCTGCCTACGACCATCAAGCTCTCCCCTAGTCTTCAGTCGTTTAAAAAGTGCCTCAAAACCCATCTCTTTAGGAAAGCTTATGGCCTCCCAGAGTAACCTCTACCTCACGTGCCTGTTTCTTGCTCTCTCCTAAAGGGCAACACTCTATTCTCTCCTCCAGCTCTGCTTCACTCCACCTTGTTTGATTGCTACCTCCTGTCCTGTTGTGTCTTATACCCCACCTCCTATAGACTGTAAGCTCGTTTGAGCAGGGTCCTCTTCAACCTATCGTTCCTGTAAGTTTTTGTAATTCTCATTTATTGTTAAATCTCCCCCTTTGATAATATTGTGAAGCGCTATGGAATATGCTGGCGCTATATAAATACCAGTAATAATAAAAATAATAATTTGGCTTTACAAATGTTTGTGTGGTGTACACACTCCATACAATTCTTTGCCTACTTTCTGTGGCTTTGTATCAGGGTTATTCATTATTTTAAATTAGAATTCAAGTTGAATATCAAATTGAATGTGAACGTAGCTTAACTGGAAGCAAAGCTGGCTCTCCCCCTCGAAACACTCCTGTTTGGCTATATTGGATCTAACTTTGAAATTCACTCTGAATTCTCACTTTAGTGAATAATCCTGCAAGACAGCTCGAGTTGCGCCCAAGCATATGCACAGTTGAGTGAATGATGAGCACTGCCCTATTTACAAAAAAATATGACTAATATCCTCTTACTCATCCTTGATTTTTGGATATGCTTTTTAAATGTATTATTTTGGAATAAAATTTTAAAATGATTAAGTATATTAAAAATATTGAAATGTATTATTTTATATCTTGAAACATTTTTTTTAAATGTTCATCCAAATATATTTGCTGCTAGGTGCTGAGAAACCTATAACCTAAACCCTCGAAGTTCCTGGTGAAGTCTCTTCTTGATCTGGAAGGGGACTGCTATATATTTTTATTTTTTTTATTTTGTACGCTGTATTTTTCTAAATTTGTTGTGGTGTGTGTGTGTGTGTGTATATATGTATATGTGTGTGTGTGTGTGTGTGTATATTTATGTATATAACACAAATGTTGTTTTGTTTTTTTTAGTCAGGAGAAAGTTTTGTTAAAAATAGGAGGTATTGCTAAGGTAACAGGGTTATTTAAACTAAATAGAGATGATTTGCGTTGTTTGGTGCTTTTAGTCCTTTCAAGACGGCTTTCTTTTTTTTTTCTCAACTTCAAACTTCACATTATGTGTAGAATCTGATACTTCTAGAAAGAGCATTACCATTTAAATTAACTCCATGAGTATCATCACAAGAAACTTACGTTGAAAAATCCAAACGTTTAAGAAATGTTTGTAATGTAATTTTTATGTTTTGTGTTTATATATAGAAACTCTGCAGCAGACACAGTGGAACAGTCACTTTTGTTTGTTGGATCTGAGACGGGCAAATTATTGGCTATGAGAGATCTCATAAAAAAGGTGTGTATTTAATTTTCTTTTTTTATTATTAAATGCAGAATACTGTCCTTGACACAGTAAGACATAGCTTACATTATAATCCAGAGTTCACTTATTGATAATATAATTGTATCTATATGTACATTTCCAGTAGATGAAAATGCTAAATGGGCAGCCTGAGCACCAAAACCCCCTTATCGTAAAGAAATTATTTTGGGGCACAAATACTGTCCCTGCAGACTTGTAAATGAAAACCGTATAATTTGTAAGGAACTGTACCATTTACATTTTGCCAATTCCATGCCTACTAGGGGCTCCAGACACCATTAGATTCAGTAAGTTCATCTAGTTTGCAATCTGGCATCAGCTTGCATAGTGCTCTCTATGGATTCAAATCTTCTCATAGAGAAGTATTTGGCAAATTGAAGTATTTGCCACACGTCCTGTGTGTTCTCTGTGATGCATCTGATTCGTCAGCAGTTATCAGGATTGATGAGGAGAGGAGCATTGGGCTTAGAGGAGTAATTTTTTTATTTTATTTTTGTGTGTGTTCCTTTAAGACATATGTGGTGAAAGTAACCTCGCCACAGGCTTTTGGAGGGGCCTGCTAGCCAGCCTCCTACATCAGGACTATGGCCTCTGTAATAGACCTTGGTGCAGGACTGGAAAAAATCCTTAACCTCTAAAGGACACATGACATGTGTGACATGTATTAATTCCCTTTTATTCCAGAAGTTTGGTCCTTAAGGGGTTAAGGATTACTAGGAATCGGTGATTGGCGGAGGCACCCAGTCGAGGTGCCAGGCAGTCCGCCACAACATAATTTTCATGCTATATGACTGTTTACATGGATTATAGTTTCAAAACATTTTACCGTTAGTGGATTTTACATATATATTCAAAGGAAAGCCCCATAGTGGTTAGGTTGTCATAAATTTTATTGTTGTTCCCTCCATTCTTTTTTTTTTTTAGTCAAGTGCTCCAAATTTATAGTTAAACCTATTATAATCACTCAGTTTCTCTATTCATTATGCCACCTCGATAAACTTTTTCTTCTGTGATAGTCTTCATGGGGCTTCTTTTCTCCTTAAAGGGACACTCTAAGGACTAAAACCACTATCGCTTAGTGGCCTTAATGCCTAGCTGCTGTCCATGCCTGATTGTTGTAAAACGTAATTTTAATTTGTCAATTTGTGTGCCTCTACTGTCTGTCAGTCACGTATTTCCAACACCTACCAGTGAAAAAATATAAAGCCTGCACATTTGTCGTGGTGACACTGAACAAAAATACGCTGTGCAGCCCTGCTGTGAGATTGAGCACCGGGAGCTTGCGGCCTACTCGACTCAGGGGTGAGGTGGACGTCCGCCATCTTGCTTACTCACCAACTAACTGTCTCCCCGGTTCCGTTTCCCCCCAAACACTTTGGACCGTGGGGCTTATCCCGGTCCCCACTGGCTCGATGCACGCACCTCTGCAGGATCGTGCAGTATATCATCTTCTGTGTAACACAGCAGAATGTCCTGCTAAGATGGCAGGCGTGCCTCCAATATCGGTACATACTGCTACGCAGTTCATTACCGGATATTTCAACGCTTCTGGACGAAGCTAGTGAAACGTAGGTTTCCAACATTAACCCACTTGAGAGAGAGGAGAAGTGTACCAGTGGTGGGGGGCTGAGACTGCCTCTTTCGGGCAAAGCCTCTCCTACACTAACTACCCATGCAGGCCGTGTACCTAGGCTGAGGGTCCTGAGGAGATTACTTCACAGCGTCGACCACCCCGCTGTAACACCTGCACCTTCCACTGTGCCCTTTATGGCAATGCCTCGACCTCAGAGTATTTGAGTAAGTGATATACAGATGCCACCCTCTACACAGGCCTGGTGCTGGAGGAGAATCGTGTCCTGTCTGCACTGCTCTGGTACCCTCTGTCTCCCTGCCACGTATGGGCATTGGCTGACTGTAACGGACTTGAGGATTTAAAGTTCATCAAGAGAGTCAATGTTAAGAGTGATTATTTGTGTATGTTAGCTCTTTGTTTTACATGTGAGTGACACTCTTTAGGTAACCACAGAGTCTTAAAATCGACCTCTCCAAATATCAGTTGGATCCATCACAGGCTACATAACCATGAATGCACAAACTCATGATAACCTAGCACATTGTGTAATTACTATTTCACCAGTGCTTTATTACTTCCTGTTGCAACCTATCTTGTAGTTATTTGCTATTATTTAGTCAATCGCTCCATGTCTACCTAGTCCTGCTCATTTAAAAGACATGTATGTCTCAAAAGAGACCTATGTCCATCAAGTTCAGCCTTTCTCACATCTGTTTTTGCTGTAAACTTGAAAGAAGGCAAAAACATCCAGTTTTAAGTTCTCTCCAATTTTGTAAAATCCTTCTCGACCCCAGAATGACATAGATTGTCCCTCTTCAGCTAAACTAATAATGTCAACATATCCGAACTCTTTTGCTACCTGAAACACTAGGACTAACATTCTTTTTTTTACTCTGGACTGTCACAGTGAAGCATTGTATTCAATGTTCAAAGTTTTTTATTTTATGTTTTCTTCCAGGGATTCAGTCCTCCGGTTCTGGTATTTGTGCAGTCCATAGATCGAGCCAAGGAACTGTTTCATGAACTTATTTATGAAGGAATGAATGTGGATGTCATTCATGCAGACAAAACCCAGCAACAGGTATTTCATTCCACCGGGTCTATTTGTGTGTATAGCAGTGGGGAAGTACTTTTACTGCTTATAGGTTGTAAACGAAATAATTCAGCTCAGTTTGCAGGACAAAGTAACTCTAAAATGAAATTAAATTGTTAGCTGTTTTAACAGGAGTGCTATGAGCAAAGCATGAATTAAAAAGGCTTTGTAAATCCATAAACCTACTGAAACATTAATAGTGTTGAGTTTCTTACAGAATGTTATGGACCCATTTTAGTTTTGCAACTAGGGGCCCCACTGAAATGAGTGAAGTGAATGTTCCAAACACTCTAATTTGTTGTCAGATAAGTTATGTGTTCAGCTACTGTTAGCAATGTACCCCAGATATTGCTGAATGCTTCACACATCTCAGAAAAGATACAACTTGATAATTAGCTTTGCTCATAGGATGAAAACCTCAAACTGTTTTGACCTCTAGTCTTGTCCCCAACTTGGATTTTGCCATGTATTTGTGTTAAAACAAGAGATTGACAAATGTGTTTCTTCCTTGTAAGAGCACCATAATTGTATTCTACAGAATATGGTTGAATTTATTTGGCAAATACTTGGTCTATACTTAAAATACTCCCAGTGACATATTATGACATGCACTTTTTAGTTGCCTACCAACCATCTTCTGCCAAACAATTTAAAGAATCAATATAGGGTCAGGAACGTATTCCTGATCCTATAGTGCTAAACGCACTATTTAGGTTGCTTGCCTTACCCTCCTTACAAGCAATAAAAACTCACCCTATTTAAAGCGCTGTGCAAGTCTGCCAGGGCTGGCCACTCCACTTTGGTGTAATTATCAAAATTGCAGAAATTGGATTGGCTATAATCGACATAGGGGCAGGGCCTTTTTCTCTGAAAAGGCAGTGTTTGCATACGTATCGGGTATATCCGTCAAAAAACGGTCCTTAAGGACCGCGCACGTACCTGATATGTCCGCGGCGAATTAGAGCTTTAACAGTATTGCAGACAGTCCCCCTGCTGGTGAAAAAAATGAAGTTAATAAATTTAAAAAAATATATATGTATTATTGAGATATATATATATATATATATATATATATATATATATATATATATATATATATATATATATATATATATATATATATATATATATATATATATGTTATAAATAACGTCCTACTAAGTGTATTTTTTTTTGTTTATTAATATATACATCACCCGATGGTGTTCGAGCAGGTGGGTGCAGCTCATGCTGTAGCCTGTGCTCTAGTTTTTACCAGAAGTCGACAAAGATTTTATCCAGCCTGGTCATGGTATCGAGCAGAGTTACGCTGTCTATGCACACGATGTTTGCCATCGCATGATACCTCTAATATCAAAGAATAACGTACAATAAAGAGCAATCTAGATAATAAACTCAAACACCTGAGTGGAATCCCCTAAACCACCTCTATAAAATAAACATATACATACATAAGGTGGAGCTATAAGGCTGGAATACAATATGAATCTGCAAGTATACAGAAATAAAAGAAAATAGTGCAATATTGCCAGGACAGGTAATATATGGATCAGTAATGATTAGAATGTGACTCAAAAGCGTAGAGCCATTAAAAACATATGGCTCAGGTGGTAAGCACATATGGACAGTTGGTAGGATGTCCAACTCCTTATCCTGCTGATCCTATGTGTATGGTCCTGTTGATGAAACACAGTGAGTAACCAAGAGCTTTGTCCAAAGTGTCCTTTATTAAATGTAGGTGATAAAATCACAAGAGTAAATACATAAAAAGTATATAAAGACCAAATGATCCAAAGGTATTCTATTGACTAAAAAGTCCAATGGTTCATCCAATAATCCAAAATGCTTTCCGCCTTGATGGAGAGGCTTCTTCCGTTGGTTGTGTTTCTGTTCCGGGTCTTCCTCTCTTTAAATTAGCCGCTTCGTCATTAGTTCCGGTTCGTCATTTCCAGCATATTTCTCTAATGCGCATGTCCATTTGCAACCGTTTCTATAGCCGGAAGGGGAAGTTCTTCAACCTTCCTTATTTTGATTCGTGGAATGCAACCTAATCTTGCGTTCCACTTCAATATCCACATGTATTAAAGTCCTCGAGAAATCCTCATCATTAATACCTTATAAAAGATCGGTAGAATCATACCATTTAATGAATATAACATACAGGGAGTGCAGAATTATTAGGCAAGTTGTATTTTTGAGGATTAATTTTATTATTGAACAACAACCATGTTCTCAATGAACCCAAAAAACTCATTAATATCAAAGCTGAATATTTTTGGAAGTAGTTTTAGTTTGTTTTTAGTTTTAGCTATGTTAGGGGGATATCTGTGTGTGCAGGTGACTATTACTGTGCATAATTATTAGGCAACTTAACAAAAAACAAATATATACCCATTTCAATTATTTATTACCAGTGAAACCAATATAACATCTCAACATTCACAAATATACATTTCTGACATTCAAAAACAAAAACAAATCAGTGACCAATATAGCCACCTTTCTTTGCAAGGACACTCAAAAGCCTGCCATCCATGGATTCTGTCAGTGTTTTGATCTGTTCACCATCAACATTGCGTGCAGCAGCAACCACAGCCTCCCAGACACTGTTCAGAGAGGTGTACTGTTTTCCCTCCTTGTAAATCTCACATTTGATGATGGACCACAGGTTCTCAATGGGGTTCAGATCAGGTGAACAAGGAGGCCATGTCATTAGATTTTCTTCTTTTATACCCTTTCTTGCCAGCCACGCTGTGGAGTACTTGGACGCGTGTGATGGAGCATTGTCCTGCATGAAAATCATGTTTTTCTTGAAGGATGCAGACTTCTTCCTGTACCACTGCTTGAAGAAGGTGTCTTCCGGAACTGGCAGTAGGACTGGGAGTTGAGCTTGACTCCATCCTCAACCCGAAAAGGCCCCACAAGCTCATCTTTGATGATACCAGCCCAAACCAGTACTCCACCTCCACCTTGCTGGCGTCTGAGTCGGACTGGAGCTCTCTGCCCTTTACCAATCCAGCCACGGGCCCATCCATCTGGCCCATCAAGACTCACTCTCATTTCATCAGTCCATAAAACCTTAGAAAAATCAGTCTTGAGATATTTCTTGGCCCAGTCTTGACGTTTCAGCTTGTGTGTCTTGTTCAGTGGTGGTCGTCTTTCAGCCTTTCTTACCTTGGCCATGTCTCTGAGTATTGCACACCTTGTGCTTTTGGGCACTCCAGTGATGTTGCAGCTCTGAAATATGGCCAAACTGGTGGCAAGTGGCATCGTGGCAGCTGCACGCTTGACTTTTCTCAGTTCATGGGCAGTTATTTTGCGCCTTGGTTTTTCCACACGCTTCTTGCGACCCTGTTGACTATTTTGAATGAAACGCTTGATTGTTCGATGATCACGCTTCAGAAGCTTTGCAATTTTAAGAGTGCTGCATCCCTCTGCAAGATATCTCACTATTTTTGACTTTTCTGAGCCTGTCAAGTCCTTCTTTTGACCCATTTTGCCAAAGGAAAGGAAGTTGCCTAATAATTATGCACACCTGATATAGGGTGTTGATGTCATTAGACCACACCCCTTCTCATTACAGAGATGCACATCACCTAATATGCTTAATTGGTAGTAGGCTTTCGAGCCTATACAGCTTGGATTAAGACAACATGCATAAAGAGGATGATGTGGTCAAAATACTCATTTGCCTAATAATTCTGCACTCCCTGTATACATCATAAATATTGCTTTAAAAAATAAAAAAAGGACAATATCCATTACAATCTCCATTACAATCTCACCAATCTTACGATCACACAATATAATAAATTAAGATCTTAAAAATAAAAAGCATATACGGTATAAATTCCCAGTAAAAAAAGGAGACAATACTTGATAAAATTCCATCCAAAGAATGGAAAGTGGATAAACAAGAAGGAATATTGCATGTATTATTTTTAAACTTTGTTTTTGTCATGACTGAAAGTTATGGTACGTTAGTAAGGTTGTGGCTTGTGCAAAAGCCAAAAGGTTTCATATAACAACAATACATTGATACAGAAAGCCAAAATAAACTTATTAGGTAATTCATGTTGTCAAAACAACCTCTCTTCGCCTGTTAGTGTTCCGTCATGGATTTTGTGTGTTAGTTTCCGCTGAACAAAACTGTGCTTTTAAACTGTAACATAGTAGAACAAAAGATAATAATCTTCTGAACTAAATCTTTGCGAGAGTTCTCTACCCTATGTGTTTCTGCGTCTCTTGCCTGCTTAGTTGCTGCTTCCCATTCGTTTGGTTTCGTGTACCGTTAGGTGGTATAGTGCTGTTGGGGCCTCATTGCTTGTCGAACCAGGATGTCGTCTGGTCCTCCTGCTTTTTAAATTCTTTGCTCCTGTATATATTATTTTTGGTCTTGATGGAAAAATCGTCTTAAGAATCAGATCTTCCTGTAGGATATGCCAGTATTTACGGAGTATCCTACATATCATCCGTTTTCAATGTTTCTTTTTTCTTATGTTGTTAGGTTAAGGTTTTTTTCTTGGAATAGATTTTCACTTCCTCTAAAATTAATTGTAGCATCCTCATCGTATCCCTTTTCCAAGAATTGTTTTTAAATCATATCTGCTTGTATCATATAGTTATGATCATCCGAGCAGTTGCGCCTTATTCTTAAAAATTGTCCTCTGGGTGCATTTGTTAGCCAAGTGGTATAGTGGCAGCTTTTTTTCCCTCAATGTACCTCTTGGCATCAACTATTTTAAAGACATGTTTGTTATACAGGATTCTTGAATACTAATGCTGGGGTTCAAAAAGTTTTATTTCTGAAGTGCTGTGTCGCAAGGATAAAGTTAAATTCCATTCATTGTCCCTTGTACATGAAAAGTTCTTCCCAATAGGTCATAAATAAATTGGCATAACCAGGGGTGAATTTGGTGCCCTTGGCCGTTCCGCAGATTTGAAGATAAATAATTTCTTTTGGTTTTGAAATACATTTTGTTAACATCAAGTGGATCCTTCCTAAAATAAACTCAATTTGATCGTCCTTAAAACCAGACCTATTTAAAAAATGTCAAACTGCTTTCAGGCCTATTTCATGAGGTGTTATATTATAGAGGGAGGTAACATCACATTGTATCTCTGCATGTGTAGCTTCCCCTCGAACTTCAGCAGTGTCTGGATAGTCACCCACGGGCGGACTGGGATCACCCCGCCAGTCCGGGGGAAGACTGGGGGCTGTGTAACGGGGCACAATTTCTCTAGTGATTGCCCATGGGTGCCTCTGGGCTGGGAGCAGCCGCCTGATCCGTGCCAGGTTGCATGTTACAGTCAGGGGTAAGTGAACTCTTGTCGAATCGCAGATCGCCACACTGCATGTCTGTTATTGTGAGGGTTAAGATGGGTGCCAGTGTAAGCTTTTATGCTCAAGATTGTTTGGGAGCTCATGCAGAGCAAGGCTCACCGCCATGATGGTCAGGCCCCGCCCCCGAGAGATGTTTTTAATGTGATTATATATTTTAACAGAGAGAAAATGTCATACAAAGTTTCAGAGAAGGAAAAATTTGGATCCTGATTTGTACAAGTCTCCTGGCTCGAGGAATAGATTTTAAAGGTGTAAACTTGGTTATAAATTATGACTTTCCAACCAGTGCTGTGGAGTACATTCACAGAATAGGTACGGTATGCAATATGCAAGTGCTTTACTTTAATTTTCATTTAGTTTCTATTGTCTGTGGAACACAAGCTCTTTGTTGAATGTGGTAACAAACACTTTAATAGCATATTACTGACCAATGTAACTATTTTTTAAATATCTTATTTTACACATTTGTTTTTCATTCCTTTCTTATATTCTTTTGTTATACATCTCCTCATAATATGTACGTGTGTGTGTGTGTAAATGTCTTTCAAATGAAAGTTAGTAGTTAATTTTGTTTTATTTATAAGTCTATTTCCAATTTTTAATGTCTTCATGTGGAAGTGAATTAAGAAAACCATGGTACTAAATGTTTAAATTCTATTAAATAGGACGTACTGGTAGGGCAGGGCACAGGGGAAAGGCAGTCACCTTCTTTACTGAAGATGATAAACCATTGCTACGAAGGTATGTACTGAAAGTAAATTTCATTGTAATCATAATTAAAAAGAATGTTGCAGCTGTTGACTTGACATATCTTTTCGGTAACAAACTCTGCTCACTCTGGTATATTTATTGTAATTACATAAAGCTAGTTTGAATACTTTTCTAAACCGCTCAGAGTAGTTGTCTTATATTTACTTAAAAAGAATGTTAGGAGTCCTGAGTTAGTGATATACAAACTTACAAGAAAACTTTGTAAAGTATGTAATAAATGTTTAAAAACGTAACTTAGCTTTCCCAGTTTCCATTGTCTGGTACGCCTCTCAGCGAGGGAAGTTTCTTCTCTTACCCACTAATCCACCCATCTCACTTTCACATGAAGTAGCACAATCAATACATGAGAAACTATGTGCATAACTTTTACAAACAAAGACCAAAGGATGTTGAGAAACAGGGAAGTAATGACAAAATAATTTTTTGCATAAAGCAAGTGTAACATTTTTGTCCAAAGATGGAGATCTAGCCAATGAATAAAATAATGGTATAACAACTTTTAGAATATGCAACGATTAGAGAAATTAGAGTAAGAGAGCGTAAATATGCACATTAAAAAGCCATGAGGCTGTGGTGAATGATGGGTGGGGGGGGGGTTAAACACTGGCTTTATGTTTAAGAAGGTACACATAAATCAACCATTTCACAGGAGGAGCAATTCACCAGGGTCTTAGACAGAGATATACCCTGATGCCACAAAGAGCCAGAGTCTCATAAAAATGGATTCTAAACTTATTTGAAAAAAACTACCAGTTTTACTCTTCTTGTAACACCCACCTCCATGCTGTCTTTCACTCCTTCCTGCTCCTCCTGAAGTTTTATATGATTTGCCCTGCTTGGGATGCTGACTGCTCTCTGCTTAAAGGGACACTCCAGGCACCCAGCCCACTTCAGCCCATTGAAGTGGTGTGGGTGCCAACTCCCATCACCCTTAACCCTGTAAGTTTAATTATTGCAGTTTTTATAAACTGCAATAATTACCTTGCAGGGTTAAGTCTTCCTCTAGTTGCTGTCTATCAGACAGCCACTAGAGGGACTTCCGAGTTCTTAAAGTGTTTTAAATGACACTGGATGTCCTCACCGGAATAATGCTTTCTAATGGGGAGTCTAATGCACAGAAATGGCCACGCGCGCATGTGCATTAGGTCTCCCCCGCCAACGGTGGGGACGGAGCGTGGCCGGAGCCTGATTCCGGTAAGTCACTGAAGGCGTTTTAAACCCCTTAGCAACACGGGATGGGAGGTGGGAGAGAGGGGGGCACTGCAGTGCCAGGAAAACGGGTTTGTCCCTTTTTAATATGTGCTGTCTAATGCAGTTGTTCATTGCAGTTATGACTTTCTCTGTGACATCTGATTAATGTACTCTGTACTCCTATCTCTTAGCATTGTAAATGCACTTTGTTAGGAAAATAATTTTTTTTTTTTTTTTGCAGTGTTGCCAGCGTTATCTCACAAGCAGGATGCCCAGTGCCAGATTATATTAAACACTTCAAGAAACTACAAAGGTGAATTGATCATACACTTTAAATTGTGGCTAGATACAAATGTAGATGTATAAATTACGTGTGCTTTAGGTCTTGTTCAAGTATTTGAAGAGTCATCTTTATAGAATGTAAATGTTTTGTTCACAGCTTCTGGATGTTATAGCATGGAGGTTCCTGTTTCTCTCTATTGATTTCAACATCTACTTCTGATTTTATGTATGCAAGCCCCTGCCAAAACTATAAACACTGGTTTAAATTGACTAAAGCTGTAGCATATATGTGTTCCCAAAGACACAAATAAATCTCAATTTATCCTTTGTGGTAAAAACAAATTTAAATTAGAAAATGGATTGTATTTGAATGCCACTGTTATTAGAATAACTATTTTTAATAAGCAAATAATGACAAAGCAAGTATTCCTTTCTGCATTTTATTCGTTAATGAGAACATTTTGCTATGGAAACCTGCTGTTATGAAAAATAAATGTGGCCTAACTGTCTAAATGTAATGGGTATTGTACATAGATATTTATAGTCTGATGGTATAAGCAGCTTTGCTGTACACAAGTATAATTTATTTATGGATATATACAGATATATCCATGCAAGTATACCATAAGTATAGTTTAGTATAAGTGTGAACACATCACTCAGCTCATCGTTTGTTATGACTGTTTTTTTTTTTTTTTCTTCAAAATGTCATGTTATTTTGTATTGTTTTAATGAATTGTGCATTTTGTATCATCAGTAAACAGAAGAAGAGGATGGTAAAGAACCCATTAAAAAGATCCCAGATTCGCACAACTCCAAAGTTCATTTTAGAAAAAGCTAAGCGGAAGAGGTATGAGAAGGTTTTATTGATTATTATTTATAAATATATATTGGACAGTGTAACTTATTGCAAAACATAATTGAATACATTCATAAAGCAATGCTTTTTATTTAAAAAGCAAAAAAAAAGGGGGGCGGGGCCGGGCCGCCGAGCCGAACGGCTGCAACTCACGCTGGCTCCGGCATAGAAAAGCCTAAAACCTTTAAAATACTCACGATCCATGCCGAAAACCGACACCAGAGAGGTAATCCGGCAGAGAGGAACCGGGGAGTGCAACGCTAGAGCACATATTGAACATCCGGCTCACACAGTGACCCCGGAGGCCTCAACCACGCTACAAGAGCGGGACCCACAGCATGCAAGTAAGGCGAGGGTGACCTGGCCCGGCCCCGCTCCCCCCCCACCCGGCCGGGGGGGTGATCCCGGCCCAAAGTCGGAACATCGGAGGCTGGAGGAGGAGGCACGCCCGGTACACGACGCTCCTGTACACGGAGCTACAATGGCCGACGGATACACAGTACCCGCACAGCATCACGGGACGACTAGCACACAGCAGAAATCCCGCGCTGGGATACCGGGACCCCCGAGACGGCGGAGCTCACTACTGGACCACCCCGGGCGGCGTACGAGTCGCTGGAAAGCCGGTCCTGAACCCCGGATTTGGTGGGGGTCCGGGAGAAACAACCCCCAACTCTGTGAGCCCGGTGGGGCTGAGAAGCGCGGGCCAGCCGGCGGACCGGTGGCCGGAGGGCACGCGCCGGCAACATGTAAGTGGCCGGAGGAGGAGGTGGCAAGTCAGGGCTGGGGCCCCAAGGAGGCCCTGCTGAAGCTGGGGAGGTGCAGGAGGCGGGAGCCCAGTGGACTCTAAGGTGGGGAGGCTGCCGGACAGCTCCGGCCTCCGAGTGCCCACAGCGGGGTTGTGCCCCCTAAAGATGCGGAAACACGACTTGGGGTGGGAAAGGGAGGGCGCTGTCACACCCGGGGGACCCGGAGAGACTCAGGGGGGGTACAGCTGACCCACCATGTGCAGCATCATTCAGAGATAGCCATGGGAAGGTCATGCCAGAATAAAAGCTGCGAAGAAGACTGCCAATTTCACACCAGATGGCTTCAACATACCGGGCGCCATTACGCCCCCTCCAGCGAAGTGACTTATATGTTAAAAGTTCGAATGTGTTTAGCTAGGGCTAACCATGCTAATGTTCCCTCTTGCATAAGCCCTTGTACATAGGATATACACTTTAATAGTTGCACATTCATTACACAGCGAGCCTGTTGCGCAGTTGATAGGGCAATGACACAATGCTAACAGCTACTTAACACCGCGTTACTTAGTACCGCTTATTTAATGGCACGGAACATGACATGATTTATTAACTACAAATAAGGCCATCAGCTACGCGCATCTTAATGTTTAATTGTTTATTGCATGATCAGCTACAGTTTACCTCAGATTGACGCATTATAGGATGTTGTTACCTTTTATGCTGTAATGCTTAGAAATGTATTCCTGCAAAGTTCAAGTACGCCTATATGTTCTGATCATTACGCCTCTGCGCAGGCGATAATCTGCACCTATTCCTATGTGCTAACATTTAAGCCTCTACGTAGGCGACTGTTCACCTTAATGAATGCTATAACGTACTGCTTAAGCCCCTGCGTGGGCAACCTCTGGCTTTATTACGAACCAGTTCGCAATATGCACTTATATTGTGAAAACAATAAAAATATTTAAAACAAAAAGCAAAAAAAATATAAACCCCCAAATATTGAATAGTGTGTATGGCACATCTGCTTCAGGTGAAATAGGATCTACTGGTAGTTCTCCTGAAATCACTAGAATGTTAATCTTCTGGGACACACCAACAATGTTTCTCAATGAAAGCACTCATTTCAACTTTGAACTATAGTGAAACCTCAAATCTTCCTGTGCATAACACCACCAGTGTTTGTTTGTTTTTTTCAATTTGACTATTTTTTTTTCAACGTAGAGAAGAGGGGAATGCATAGGGTTTGGGAACAGAGAGGGGGAGAGCAGAGCAGAATATGTTACATCACACAGTTCCTGTACATCAAACAGCGGTAGTGTGGCGCAGCACACTTCATCATGTCCAAACATTACATTACATTACATCTTGGAGAACACACCATATGTGATATTGTACTCTGACGTTCAGTCTCATCGCCTAAGCAGGTTTGGTGATTCCAAAAGCCATTTGGTTATCAGTTTGAACCTAAAGTGCGGTGTCTGGGTGTTCAGTGTGCTCAACTTTTTAAAAACCTTTTTTTATGGGGATGTCTTTAATAACCTGTACATGCTTAAGTCTGTTTGGTCTACCGTCTTATTTGCTCACACTCTTTTCATATGGTCACTGGTATATGAAACTTGATTCATTTGTAAGAGAATGCCTTCTATGAAACCTGTCAGTATTAACTATTATAAAGTGATTAAAACAAGTATTGTTTTTTCCCTCTACAGAAAAATTATACAGAAAAAATTGAAAGAAGCAAAAACAGAGAAGCAAGAAAAAAACCAAAAGCAGCAAGCACCAGAAAGTTGACCTACATCATATCTGGAAAGTCCAATAAATTGTGTGTTTTGGGACATGTATACTGAATTGAAAGCTTATCACGTGGAGTAGACAATCCTAAGAATACAATTGATTTCTGGATGATTTGGTGCATTATCTGCTTTGGACGCATGCTAACTGGACCATCCAAATATTTCTGGGAGTTGTAGTTCATCTTGTCAGTTTTTTGCTGGACTACAAATCCCAGAAACCCATGTTATCACATTCTGTCAACATGTTATTGGAGCTCAGAGGGGAAAGACTGCATTATTAGATGGAGGTGCAGAAAGGTTTGCCTTTTGAGTCAAATAATTTATTTAAAAAGTAGGAATTTTAATTTAAAAACAAAAAAACTGGTCCCTAAGCTACAAAATTCACCTAATGTGTGGGTGCCTGGGGTGTCCCTTTACAGTTCTGACTGGCTCCATTAATTATTGTTCGACCCAATATACATATTTTTCATCTTGTGTTTCTGACATGATGCTTATTTTTATAGTTTATTTTTACTTGACATGGTTCTGATTTATATTTAAATAGAATGTGTGTAAGAGATTCACATTTGTATTTTGATATTGTCTACTAAATATTATCCTGCGATTTGTCCTACTCTTGACAATTGTTTATTAAAAAATAAAAATAAACCACACTGCTTAAAGTAATTCACTTTATTTTTATTTGCCTAAAGCTGGGCTGTAAAACATTAGGCCAGAAATGTCAAACATACAACCAGTGGACTAAATTTAGCCTGCTAAGCTCAAGTATCTGGTCTACATGGCTGCAGTATTGTGGAAATGAATGGAATGTGCTTATTGCTCTTTCCCACTGCTTGGCTTAACAGTCAGGTAGGTGTAGGCACCTGGCACCACCGACTCCCCAGAGACGACAATCAGTTCTCTTAATATCTGATTCTGAATCCTGTGCCATGCTGAAGGTGTATAGTGAAGACATATGAATGATGTCACAACCAATTTAAATTATATTAATACATTGAATGTTTAATGCATGGAGATTTATTTGACTAGGTATGGAAGATGACATCTTCTATGAGTTACATTTGCTGCCTCGCAAAGTCAGACTCTTTCGATTGCATTGTTTATAACCTAGTTCAGGGGTAGGCAACCTACGGTACTAGTGCCATGCATGGCACTCAAGGTGTCTTTGCACGGCACTCAAGGCTGCTAGAGCCAAACAGGCTCTGGCCTATCAGGAGTCCCAGTGAAACTTCAGATACCTGCTAATACAAAAAGGTGGTGGTGCAGCACATAGAGGAAGTGATCTCAGATCACTTCCTCCCAGCACTTGTGAATGGGAATCCACACTGTAGTAGAGCAGCCTGCAGCTGCTGTAGCAGCTCCTGTCCTCGACTTGTACCTGGCCAGCCTGGTCCCCACTGGAACCCAGGGAAGCCACCCATACTGCTATATATACACAGAGCTGCAGAATAACCCTCCCCTCATACAAAGAATACGAACTGCCCACAAACATACACACAATCCGCAGAAACGTAACCTGCTAACAATTCACATACATGCACACAACCCCACATGCAGTATCTCACATGCAATACCCCAAACAGCCCCCACACATACACACACTACCAAAGACACAACGTGACATATCCATCCACACACACAATTCCACAAGCAGCCCCCATACACAGCCCACATTCATATGTATCATACACGATACTACAAACTACTGCTGTGAACTCGAGCTCCCAACTTCCTGCAAAGTCACACCACACTAGAGGGTGCATTTGGTAGGATGTAACTGGCTCTGATGAATTATCTGTGGATATTCTGTACCCTAAAAGCAACAGTTTTGCTTATTGATGAAGCCATTTAAATGAAAATAAGCCTTGTCGGACATTATGACTTGATAAATGTTTTCTCTGGCTAATTTGTTGTTTCTTTGCAAAATTACCCATGATGAATCTCCCAAGATTCAGTTATAACATGTAACTGCAACAAAAAATTTTTTTTTAACTACTAACAAATTTTTTTGTTTTTTTTACCTGTCAAGTCCTACCCTGTTTAATGTTTGATATGCCACCAGCTTAAGTTGATTTTATTTGAGATGGGATTTATTTATCTTGAGGGAACAAAAGTGAAGATAAGTGCAAGTAACTCCCCCCCCCCCCTTTTTGTTTTTATTGTATGTATTTTGGCTGATGTGTACTATAGTCATTGCTGCTGCCCAGGAGTAGTAGTACTGGGAGTATGAGCGCAGGGTTTATTAATCCTCTTTAGGGATGGACTTACCCGTTGCAAAGTGCCCTGTGCTGTGAAGTTTCATAGATTGCAGTACTCGACCCTCCAGAAGGTAGAGTGAGTCATGGTGTTCTAGGCCTTAATTGCTCCCTCTCACCACACCATTGTCTCCTCAATGAAGCATTCAACCACAGCACAAGCAATCCAAGAAGAACTCTGCCATGCAGGGCTGCCCCTGGAAATGCCTGAGGAACCTGGGGCAGATGTGGCTGTGTTTGTGGAACAGGGAAAGGGGGAGAGTGAAACATCCAAGATGACACAAAGTCCCTTAGCTTGATTTGTGGACACCATCTAAAGGTAAGGACCAGGCAGCCAATAAGATCCCATAGCGGTACCTCAGCAGTTGCTTGGTGGTTTTGCAGCTTGCATTGATTCCTATTGTCTTGCTCCTATGCCATCCCTGTAGTGGTCTCCCTTTGTTTTACCTCCTGACTATGCCTCCTTGTTCCACCGCAGACCTATTGGGAACCTGTCTCTACCTCCAGTCCTCTCCTGAGGTTTGTGTTAGTAAGGGTATGCTGTTCCTCATCTGAGCTCCATAGCTCAAAATAGATTCAGATGGTTCACCATTGGAAGATTGGCAGGTATGAGAGTGTAATAGTGAGGATATTTACATATTTGACATTTCATGAGTTCATGGTCAAACTGCAATAGGGCCAAGGCCTCAGACAAGTAACTGCAGTTAAAGGTGTACAGGTATACAATTACAGATAAATAACCCCTAATTTAATGGTAAATACAGGAATAGAAAGGAATATTACCACACCTTAAGTGTTTTGGCTTAACCGGAAATAGTCATCAGAATGGTGTAAAAACAAAAATTAGTCAGAGTCAGGAGTCTAGACAAGCAGGAATGGTCAACATCTGTGAAGAATGAGCAGTACTTTCAATAAACAAAATATCTATAATCATGCAAAAGGGCTTCTCTGAACCTTTGGCAGGCACCCCCAGCATAAGTGCCCTGACCATGACCCACCTGGCATCCTCAGCATGCTGACCAATGTTTGAGGGGGACTCAGAGCTATTTTCATGTCAACCATGTGGAACTGTTTTTGGCTTGAATCTTAGCTGCGGCCAGTCAAAACTTTAACCAAATAGCGTTTCCACCACAAACTTGAGATCAAGGCGCTATTTTCACAGTTTTGGCTCTCTGGGATGGGCTATACGGGGGTACTGTTTTTCTGCTCAATTCTTCTTGTCCCGTGACATCATCAAGGAGACAATTAGCTTCCTCCAGCGATAGTCCAATCCAATGCTCCTCATAGAAGAGCTTTGGGTGACCTGATGTGCAAATGTGTTGAGCGCCGGGCTTACTTACAAACTTCCCCATAGGAAAACATAGTATTCAATGCTTTCCTATGGGTTTCCTCATCAGGTAGCCTGGTCTTACTCTGTCAGTGCTGCAGAAGCGCCTCTGACAGCCATTAACCCCTTAAGGACACATGACATGTGTGACATGTCATGATTCCCTTTTATTCCAGAAGTTTGGTCCTTAAGTGGTTAAAGGTGGATTTCACCCTGCAATGTAAACATTGCCCTTTCTAAAAAAAAATACCAAAAATGCATTACATTACAGAGGTAAAGGTATAGGATAGCAGCACCCAGACTGATTCACTGAGATGGAAGTGGTCTGGTTGACTTTAGTGTCCCTTTAATTAAAAAAGTTTTTCTAAGTTTTAATAGTCCTATATTTAAAAAACAAAATCCATAAAGTGAGTTCCCTATGTGTTATATGAGATTGACAGTGCATAGAGTGTGATCTGTACACTATTACTGAATGAAGAGCACGACCTATCACGTGGTATAGCGAGCTGACGTCATTACAGTGTTCCTATGGCAACTGGCAGTCAGCTGACAGCGTAGACCGAAACTCTCTAACCCGGAAGTAGTTCTCCCTGCAGTCTCTCTGCCTCTGTGATAGCGGAAGTAGATCAGCTGTCAGTGTCCCTTTGAACACAGCTGGGGAAGATGGCGCTGCGGCCAGGACCTGGAGCCAGTGGTGGAGGTGTAGGGGGAAACGGCGGCAGGTAAGTATCCATAGCAGCCATTGAGCTCTGTCTGTGTATATAGCCTGTGGGTGTTGTTTTTCAGTTCTTTCTGCTCCCATGATCTCACAGTGCGCCGTCATATCGCATCATGTCAAGCACAGAGTGACTGTATGAGGGGCTGTGCATGTATGAGAAGCTGTGCATGTAACTTCTGCTACATTTAATGAGGCTCAGCCCCCTAGACTAGAGCATTGCTGTCCCACACTGTCTAGCTTGTTGTAAATTAGGTGGGTGGCTGAGAACAATGGGAAGGGTAGTACAGAGTAGTTTGAGTTTTAAAAAGAACGTTCTGAAATGCTCTTTATTCTGTTTTTTATTTATGTTTTTATTTTTACAAATTCACTAGAGACATTTTAATGATAAAATTAAAAAAAACAAAAGGATCCCTTAACTTTAAAATGTGTGTAATTGCAACACTTGCACAGACAAGTGCTAAAGCAAACAGCCCTTCCAGACCAGAAAGAAGATCTACATATCAGTAATCTTTCATTTTGGTTTATGTGTTTGTTTTGATTATACTTCTGACTGGCAATATTTTATGGAATATTTTGTTTATCCCCCCAGACATAGCTCCTCTCATCACACAGTGTGAATGGACAGAGCAGGATTAACACAAGGGCCGAAGCTCCATGCCAATGGAATATGCCCATTGATTATTATAATTTTTTTTAATTACTCTTCACATGCTCTTGCTTTGTGCAGAATTAATTATGTATGGGAACTTAGGAGGGATGCGGTGTAACAAAACTTGTGTGGATGGGCTGACTTTGCACATTGTGCAAATGCTCTTGCTGCTTCAGTATCTCTAACAGTGTGGCATGTCCCTTCTACACTAATTATATCTACATGTTCTCTGTTCCAGGCTGCATACCAGGAGATTTTGCCTTCTAGTAATAAGGGAAGTAGAAGAGTGGACAAGTGTGTGCTTGGGGAACATTAGGGAACTGTCCCCAGCGCTTCATTAGAAGAGTTAATGCTAAGATCAGGATGCTGAAACAATGCTGTCTGCTCTTAGCTGGCCGTCCTGTGTGATTACCAGACGCCTGGCATGCATTCACATTGGCTGATCTTTCAATTCTTTGGGCAGATGTACCCCCTTTTTTGCCATGCCCACCCCTTTGATTCACGTCACTGGCCCACCTTCTTTACCTTGCTCACTGACGTCCTGCTTCACAAAACATCGATTTTGGGGGATGTAGGTTTGGTGGAGAGATTAGCATAGGGTATGTGTATTATTATAAATACATCCTGAGAGTTTCCTCCAGCACCACCTCCACCAGAGGCATGACTGTTTTAGTGTTCTATCAATTTAGGATTCTGTAATTAGGC